CCCCAGACATTGCTATCAGTATTACTGACATATGAGTCTGTCTCCCACATTAAATTGTGAACTTCTGAAGGTCAGGAGATATCTTGGCTTCCTCTGAAGCACATCTGCAAGGGAAAGACATTTGTGAGAAGCCGAAGAGATCAGGAGAGAAATGTTTCAGAGGACTTGCAAGCTGAACTCCCAGACCAGGTCCAGAAAGCAAGTCAAGGAGACCGCTTGAAGGCTCACAAATTAGTCCAGGTGAGAAACGATGAATGACTAGACAGTGAGCAGTAAAAGGAGGAATGGATGGGAGAGAACAGATCCAAGTAATTCATTCACACATGAGTTTATTCTTTTAACAAATATTTATTGAGCACCTCCTATGTGCCAGAGACCAATTTAGCTGTTGAAGATACAGCATTGAGCAAGATAGATATAATTCCTGTCCCAATAAAGCTGGATGCAGTATATAACATGGTGGTTCAGAGTGTTGGTTCTGGAATTACTGCAATTCGAACTCAGATTCTATTATAGTATTTATTAATTGTGTGACCTAAGACAAATTACTTAACCTTTCAAACCCTTATCTACTAAATGCAGATACAAATATCATCCATCTCATATTAAGTTCTCAACAAATGTTAGTAATAATTACCGTGATAAATGATACAAATATAAAATACAGAGTGCCTTCAAAGTGCTTAGCAGAAGATTCCAATTTAGTGGAAGAAACGGGGTTAGAAAAAGCTTTCCTAAGACAAGGAAGGAAGCAGTTACATTGAGAACTCACAGATGAGTAGAAATTAGCTAAGCAAAATCTGGGGCATAGGAAAAAAGGTGGAAAAAGGGTCAGTGTGGCTAGCATTTGTTAAACGTGGAAAACTTTAAATGAGTCTGGAGAGATACATAGAGCCTTGTAGGCCATTGAAAGGAATATTGGTTTTATTTTAGGTACACTGAAGATCCAGTGAAGATTTTCAAGAAAGGAGATAGGATGGTCTCATTTGCACAGAACCAACAGAAGTTGCCAACTAGATATGGGAGGTGAGGAGGATGGAGAAGTTAAAGATAACTACAATGTTTCTAGCAAAAATAAGTATATATAAGATGATGTCATTAACAGAGCTACAGCACAAAAGACTAAAGGTGGGATTTTTATGATAGGAAAAAATGTTGAATTTTTTTTGTGACACACTGAATTTGAGATGGCTAAGGAATTTCATATAAAGATGTTTAGCAGGCATCTGGAGATTATTAGTGCCCAGGAGCATGGTCTGGCTGAAAATAATGATTTAGGGGTCATTGGTATATAATGAGGTGGTTGAAGCTGTAGGAGTAGATGGATGGGATCAGAAACAGAGATACAATGTGTGTGGGTGTGTGTACAGAATGAAAATAAAAGAATGTCTGTAGCTGTGAGGTGCTCAGAAAAAGAGGAGTTGTCACAGAAGACTGAGGAAGGGTCAGAAAGTTATGAGGGAATTTAAAGGATACATTGGGAGAGAAGCTAATATGAAATATAGTAAAGCCCAAATATATTTTGTAGTCATCCAGACACATTCTGAAATAGATTATCCTGCTGAATATTTTGTGCGAGCACTGTGGCATAAACATTTATAATACATATTTTCCTGATGAAATCTGTAATCTCTAGTTGTCTGGAATCTTTCAAAAGTCAGTCCAGCTCCAAAATTACCTTTCAATCATCCTGTTCTAGAAAATAGCATTCATTCTTGAGCAAATAAATTATCTCAATTAAGTGGCAAATATTGCTAATTTCCATTATTTAACTACCTGGATAATTAATTATATGTGGATGAAAGAATACAGGGAAAAGGAAGAACAGATATTTTACCAAAAGAAAATGGTCCAATTGCTAGAGTTAATTCAATGAACATGAATAGAAGTGATAGTATTGTAAATCCATATTTTTCAGAAACATAATGAATCATACATGCAAAAGTACACACACACACATATACATAAAATCACGCTTTTCTCCAATAAGTTTCCAAAAGCAAAGGCTTTCTCATGCCTCAGGACCTTCACACGTTTCCTTTTCCTAGAACATTCTTATCTCTGCTAATCTTCCTTTCTCCCTGCTATCTCCTCAGGGCACACACATTTCATGCAAACAAATTCTTGAAGAAGAACCCCAAAGCAATCACTGCAGCAACAAAAATAAATAAATGGGATCTGATCAAATTAAAAAGCTTCTGCACTGCTAAGGAAACTATCATTAGAGCGAATAGACAGCCCACAGAATAGGAAAAAATATTTGCTGTCTACACAGCCATATTTCTTAAATGACTGCTCACACCCCCTTTTCTTCCCTCTGCCTATCATTGCATTCAGCATTATGAAATGCCTTCAGTGCTAATTATCTACCCTTTAATTGATAGAATTCACCTCATACAGAAATCTCTGTCTGAAATAACCATGGATTTCAAACTCTTCTGCTTCAGCGTTCAGATAATTTTAAATTTATCTGGAAAAACATTTCCTGAACACATGAACAATTATTTTAAAAAATTCAAATTGTTTTTCCTACAAATAAACATATCATGGAATCTTGTGTCATATGAAAATTTCAGTTCAAGTTCTTAATGGATGTTTTCTAGCATGTTGGTCCCAAACTGGTTGTCAGGGAGCAATGTTCTCATACTCACCACCCACAGGAGGATTATTCTCCTCTCCTCATGTAGATCTCTATGATTTTCTTGGATCTTTTTCCATAAAGAATTCATTTGCTTTAAGTTCTCCTCCTGCAAAGGAACAATAAATTTGAGCAGCAGAGGTGGAAATACCATAGATTTCAGTCCCTTACCCCTGGAGAGAGGCAAGGGATGTTAGATATAAGTACATTCGGGGAGGGTGGGACAATCAAATGTTTTACTGCTTGTCCTTGATAATATTCATCAATTCTGAGAGATTTTAGAATATGGAATAATATAGGAAACTGATGAAAGAAGATTTCACGTAATGTGGGTCATTTTCAGTGAAGCACACTGCTTCAGAACTTGCGTCTACTGATGCTAGTGCTCGGCTTTTGTAGTGTACTGTTTTTCCATTTATTTTTCCAGTATTTTAAATAGGTTGCCAAAATAAATCTCTGCATGCTTGTAGTTTTGGTAACTTTACCGTGCCTTAAGTATTATAGTATATATTAATACTCAAAAAATAAAAATGACTATTACTTTAATTACCCTCCCTTTGGGTGCAAGTTTCATGAAGGCAGGTATACTTGCACATTCTGTTCACAATTTCATCATTCATACCTAGAACAGTATCTGAAACCCAGTGAAGAATGGAGTCACCATCCTCATGATCCTCATCTTCCTTCCATTCTGTTAACTCAGCTACCTTCCTGTTCTCAAAGTGCTCTCAGAGGCATCACTTACCCGGTGGTCCCCAGATGCCACTTCAGTGGGACAGTGTCTGTGAACCCCATGGTCCTGGGAATTAGAGCAGAGCAAACAGAGCAGGCTCTTGTCCACTTCACAGAACATCTTCTTCTCCTTGTGGGTCCCACACATTTGTTCCTCAGAGCTCAGGACTTGCAAGAGGCTAACTTTTCTGGCAATGGACCCTAGATTCTTCAGAAAAATATTGGTTTTGAAATCTTTCTGCTGTGATGGTTTCCTAAATTCTGGGCAAGAGCCATGAGTGTAGGCTTCTTCCCAGAAGAGGCAGAGACAGGGCCTACAAAAGCTGTGCCCACAGCGTATGGTGACTGGGTCTATAAGGTAATTCAGGCAGACAGTACAGGTGAATTCTCTCTGGAAGACTTGTGTGATTTGTGAGTCCATTTTCCTGAGGGAAGAAAATCAGAAGAATTTAATCTTCTGCCTTGGAGAGACAAATATCTAAGTAAATTTGAGTCAGGTTGTGATTCAATGATATTCTTCAATTTAGAGCGGAATAGGCTTTAGTTTACAGATGACAGTAAAAGAAAACTAGGAGAGAAAGAAAGATCGTGCTCTGTAGAGAAATCTACTGGTTGTCTAGCCAACACACACCCACCTCCCCAAACTCCTTTTTCCTGTATAAAAGAACTTCAGATATTTTGAGGTGTTAGTGTCCCCCAAATTGCTTGGGCTTCAAGGATTTAGCCAACCTCCAGACCCAAGGGATGAGTGCTTACTGGTCTGGAAATCAATCACACTGTTATCTGCCAGTGATTGGCTTAGGGAAGGGCAGCTAATGAAGCTTATCTATTTTCATTGTTTTTTTTAATTATTATAATCATCCTATCATGATTTTTCCAAAAGCATTCTTTTTGTCAGTGTTAGAGCAGAACTATTTATACTTCTGACCGAAATTAAAATGAGTTGGCTTTCCATCTCTAAAATAACACTGGCAAATCAAAGCAACTATTGTTATCTAAGCAGGTATGTTAATTCAATCAACAAGCCTTTTCTGGTATGGTTACTACTTCAGAAATTTTTTTGTCCATTTGAGATATAGTGGTTAATACAACATCTTTATGAGAGAGGTAAAAGTTAAAATAATACAGTTGATAAAATGCAGAAGTATATAAAAAGCCATTATCTGTATGTCTTCTGTCTGTCACTGATGATCCCAAAAATGTTTTTATTGTAACCATTGATAAAAATGCATGAGAAATGTGCATATACAAGAGTTAGTCACAAAACCAAATTTCCGCCCTTGATATCTTTTGTTGTCTCAATCAAATCACCACTCAGAATCAATTTCTAAATACAAATGTTAATAGAATTAAAGTTTGTAAAACTGGATCAAATTTCAAATAAAATCTTTTTATAGAAATATTCAGTCGATCCTTGAACCACAGGGGATGGAACTGCCATGCCAAAACTGCCAAAAACACATGGGTTTTTTCAACCAAACAGGGATACAAAATACTGAATTTATGGTAGAAGAAACCCTTGTATATGGAGGACCAACTTTTCATGTGCTCAGGTTCTGCCTTGAGAACAATGTGGGGCTAGGGAGAAGGGCACCTGGAATGAATCCTCTGCCAGTACCAAGGGACAACTGCACTAAGCTTTTATGTTTGCTCTCCTACGCTTTTTATCAACACTCCCAAATTAAAAAATAAAAAGTAAAGAATTGAAGGAGAAGGGAATAGCATTATTTTATACTGTCTTGGAAGCTATTTTCAGAAATCGAGCTCTTATTTCTACACTATAAAAATATACTGTCCCACTCTGTCTGACTTTTCTGCATGATTGCCAGTGAAACTTTTTTGCAGAAGCATTCATTTCCTCCTTTCTCTAACTGTAGGTCACATTGAGGTTTCTGTAGAGATATTTACAAACACACAAGAACAAAATTTCACCCAAATCATTCCATGAATTATCTACTTACATATGGCCAAATATTCTCTTTACTGTGTGTACATTACTACTTGTATGGTAGAATGTAATACATTTATGCAACTAAAATAAAATAAAATACCCCAAACCCATTTATAGACTCTACCCTAAATAAAAAATTACAGAACATTTCATATGGAAACTAATTTCTGAGTCTTTATAATGTAAAGAAACAAGCAATATATCAGTTACAGACCAAAATGGACCATTAGATTAATTCCTAAAACACGTAGCAAGAGAGATGACAAAATAGTTTATAAATAGGTTAAAAGAAATTGAGTCATTTTTAAAACTTGGGAAATGGACCGTTTCATTAAAAAACTCAAAGTTTGTAGATATAATAAGTTCAGACAATTGGGTTTTTTTTTTGAGGGGGTAAGTAGCAGGAACTCCTCTTCTGTAAATTGCGTACTCACCTAAAAATTATATACAGGTTCTCACCAATGTTTGCTGTAGAAGTAATAATATGAAGTCAGTTCAGGGACCAGGACCTCAAAGTGTGGTGGTGGTGGGTTTCAGAAGTCTCCACAGTGAGCTCCAAAGGCACTCTGTGGGTTCTGGAGAGGTATGACCTGGGCTTCTGGAGGTGGAATGTCCTTTTATGAGTCCCTGAAGACCACACCCACCTCTTTCAAGTGATTGCATTTCAGTGGTCTTAAGGTGGGTATGAGCATAGATGATTAAGTTTCTTCAAAACAGGAAAGTGTTGATTTAACACCTTTGACTAATCCCTATTAACAAACCTTAACAAACATTACCTCATCAACTGCCACTAATTTCACAGCAAATAAACTGATGCAGGCTTTATATCAAAATTTTGGGGGATCAAAGCCTTTTATTTTATTTTATTTTATTTTATTTATTTATTTTTTTGACACAAAGGCTTGCTCTGTCACCCTGGGGAGAGTGCAGTGGTGCCATTGTGGCTCACTGCAACCTCAAACCCCTGGACTCAAAGGATCCTCCCGCCTCAGCCTACAGAGTAATTGGCACTACAGGCACATGACCCCATGCCCGGGTAGTGTTTTTATTTTTAGCAGAGACAGCCTCTCACTCTTGCTCAGGCTGGTCTCTAAATCCTCACCTCAAGGGATCCTCCCACCTTGGCCTCCCGGAGTGCTAAGATTACAGGCATGAGCCTGAAACACTTTTACTTTTAACTTAAAAAAAACGTAGAGGATTTTATCAGTAAATTATTTTAGCAAATGCTTTGAAAACTTTGCAATATATTGCCCCATGTTTAATTATATTCTGATATGTAGGGATGATTTATATAATTTATTGATTTATTTTTATATTTCAATGTAAGAATTTAATCTAAGGGCACTGTTGTCTCACACTCCAGAATGGGGGCCTCATTCAGAACACAGGATTGTCTCCTATATCCCCTGATTCTGCTCAAGCCAGCTCCGGAGCTACAGCAGAGAAAAGTCAGGAAGCCCCAGCTCAGGGACCCCTGGGTTAGGGCAGCATAAAACATGCTGAACTCATGTAAACTGGAATTTATTTCTACTTGAGAAAGTAATGATGTCAAGGTTACATCTCAATGCATTTATTCCACTGCCCAGTTCCCATGTCGGACCTTGAGAAAATCTTCTTCCTAGTTACCATTGGCTCCAGATATCCTTCCTGCAGTAACAGAAAACCAAGCTGTGAATTCCAGAGAAGCATCTCAGACCCTGTGCAGACAGGAGTCCTTCGAGAACCACCTTGGCTATGCAGAGACCACTGGGACCAGCAGCAGTCTGAAGAGGGTGAAAGACAGACCAAGGCCCTGAGGAGCATCAGGAACTTCCAGAGAGAAGGGAAGGAAGGAGATCTACATTCCAGGATTCCCCCCATATAGCTAGAAGAAGCTCAGCACCCATAAGGCCAATAGCCCTTTGCCTGACTCCTCTGAGATCAGGGAGTTTCTCATCCAGGGATAGGAAAGAAGATACAATTTGGTTCTATAGGCAGAGAGCAGTGGCTCAGCAGGAAGGTGTCCCTGTGGGAGAGTGACCTAGTCAAGCTGAAGCCTGTGTTCACAGGGCCTGGTGTGGGTAAAGTGGAATATATATTAAAACTTCTAGAAGCCACAATCCTCCCAAATTCTCCTGATTCCATCATCAGTGCACAGAACCAGTTAAATGGAGGAGGAATGGGCCCAGGGAATTCTGGAAGAAGGGAATTGAGAGACTAGTAGTTACAGGAGGAGACTTTTTCTGTCCAGGTCACTGGACAGAACATTCTCTCCTGTTAATTTCAGAAATAAGCAATGGACGGTCAAAATGTTGCATGCACCCTGGCCCAAAGGCAGCATAATACATATCTTTGGTTTTCATATATATCAATAATATTTAATTTCACTACTCCAAATAAGTTTTTGGTTCATTTGACATGGAGGTCCATCTACCTAGCATGCTTAACTGACTATACTTATTATGAGACTGTACTTCTCATAAATAAGTCACTCTCATCGTTTAGGCCAGCCTTCAGATTTCTCTACTCTCATTTATTGTCCTTCATATCAGAGCCTTCATGATGGAAAATGAAAGGCAAGTATGGGGAAATCACACGTTTGGTTTAAGATGTTTTCAATTACTTATCTCTTCCTAAAAAGTGAGTTCCTCAAATAGCCATCTGCCTTGGTTTCCAGCCTCATTGAAATATCGGCCAAAATATGATCTTCCACACTGTATCTTTTTTTGACTACTATATTTATTGATAAAATTCAATTTTGTCAAATTGTCAAAGATTCTGTCCTTGTTTCTCTTTTCTGCTGTATTTTCCTCTAAAGTATGTATCACAATGTATCATACTTTCAAAATTTTATATTTTGACTTCTTGATTGTCTGTGTTCCCCTGACAATCTCATGAGCACCTTGGGTGCAAGGAAACCTGTCTGTGTTATTTATTTCTATATTGGCCTAGAACAGTTACTAAGGCACAGTCAGCACTTGATATTTTAAAGAAAAAATTATAAATTATATCCTTAAGGATATCACCCTTAAAGAATCAAGGTGATTTATAATATCAATAATCTGTAATAATATATCTCTTTGTCATTCAAATGATCCCATGTAGATTCCTTTCTTAGTGGTTAGGAGTGCCTTTCACATTCATGTTTCTATGTTTCATCAGGAAATCTTTACTTTTCTGAGAATGTAGATGTACTTTAATTTCATCTCTTTTATTAGTGGTTTCAGTTTATGTTCTTGAATTAATAAATATAAAATGCAAATTCCTCAGCCATCCATTTAGGCCTCATCTTGAACTAACCTATGCTACATTTCCACCTGTATCTCTCAGCATTGTCTCCCTCACAATCTGTGTATTAAGTAATATGAACTCTGTGGAATCCCAATAGCCTTATGAGTTCTTTAGTTCCTAGTCTCCAGCTCTGAAAATGATCTGCCTAATATTTCCATGAGTTTCCAATTTCAATTTGTTCTTTATTATCAGAATAATAT